TCTAGTCAAATCAAAAAAAGAGACAATGACGGTGAATGCGGCAGATTATATTTTGGGAGTGAAGGAAAAGTACAATAAAAATTGTGCAAATGCCACTAACAAGGTAACATTTACAATCGTGTCTTAATATTGTTTGATATTTACTGTCCATGTCCACACTTGTAAATAAGGACTATCATCTAGCATTTGAGCAGGTTCTCAGAGTTTATTGTCATGGCAATTTCTTTTAACAATTTACACATATAGATCCCTTACGGCAAATAGTGAAGGCAGTACTCACTCTCATTCGTGCGTCTGGCTTAAAGCACCAGGGCAGCAGATTCCTCACTCTCACCCACTCCCAAAGATACCACAGGTAAAAGGACTATGAGTATTTCACAGGGTAGAATCAAAAAGGAAAAGCGACCTTGGTAAAAGAGAAAGATGGTCTGAAAAACAAAGACACTACTCAACAGACAGCTGAAGACACCTTGTTGACCAACAAAGGGTCAGCTACGCAAAAGGGGAACAACCAGCTGTGCTTTACTGCAAAGGATCTGGGCATCACCGTGCCGCATATGCTGGCACAATTCAGTAGTGGCCATCTACTGCAAAAAGGGCCAAGCCCCATAGTTGTGTGTACAGACAGAAGTGCAACAGCAAATCCTCCGCCCTCCTCCCATAAAACCTGGGTGGGAGCCCTGCAGCCTGCTCTGGGGACTGTCCTCCAAGAAAGCTGTAACACCCCCAACCCAGTGGAGGGCAACGAAGTCACTCAGCACTTCAGAAAACACCAATAAGAAAACCAAAGGAGGATGTAACGTTGCAATGGCCATTTACCTATTTGAAAGGTAGGGAACATTTTATTACAGTGATTGTAGTAGTCTGGTCAAAAAATAAAGGGATACATTGAAGCAAAGAAGATTTAGTTTAGATATTAGGAAAAAAATTTTGTAGTGGCAGAGATAATGACTGTCTGGACAGCCTCTGCAGTCCTCAAGTCCATGTTTGTACAAAAAAACTCCCCCCATTTATTTGTACCACATGTCACTTGAGGACTCTGCAGTCTGCAACAGCATGGGGAGGGGGAGCCTGGCCCCAGAGACATCGTCTTCTCTTCCCCTCCACCTCTTTGCTGTTGGGGCTTCAGCCTGTCTTCAACTCACAGGAGACAAAAGCATTAATGTGTTTAGCACAGTCAGCTCAAAAGGCAGACTGGTATGACTCACAATCACTTAGTGATTTGCTTAAACCAATTGTGGACACAGAATATGTTTAAAGAAATCGTTGCTAATTTACCTTGAACATCTTGGGATTAAAACCTTGTTTCATATTAGTCCCGATAGCTATTAATTTTCTTTTAGCAAAATTCCTATGTTTTATGCACTTAAGTTAGTAAGTCCAGTGGTGTTAGTTCTATGCACAACATCTCTAGCTAGAAAGGAAATTTAAAATATGGCAATTTTAAAATCTAAATTCAAATGGCTGTTAATCAGTTGGCATAAAGATAAATAAATGGAAGAGCCACAAACAAATCACTGGAGGTTCTCAACTCCTCATTCCAGCTACTTGAAGAAAGCAGCCTTCTCTCACTTTAGTTGTCTGCTTTGTCTTTCATTCATTTTTTTAAAAAAACATCCTAAATGCATTCCTACAGGTCTCGTTTTCTGGAACTGGTTTTTGCCCTCCTATTTCTTATTTCTTGGGTGACTATTTGGTGTGTATGTCTCATGATTTCAAACAATTTTAGGGTTGCAGTTTGAAAAAGGCAGTTCTCTATATTTGGTATTAATTGCTTTCTAGCTGAAAAAATGTTGGATTTTAAAGGGCCAGCCGCAGTTGGTCTTGTCTGATTTTGGGGGGTTTGATTCCAACCCTGCATGGTTTGATTCCACCCCTGCGTGGCTGTAGCCAACAGGCTGGCAATCCACCAGCTGCATTCAGCCTCTCTTGCTCCTAATTACTCAGTTCCCCAGTTCTCCTCCCTTGTCGGTTCTGTTCTGGTCAGCACAATTAATTTCCGTTCCTTACTCCTGCATTCACCTTCAGCTCATTAATTTTTGGCCAGTCTCCACTACTGTTTCAGCTCAGCACTTTGCAGTTTCTCTCATCACCGTTTAAGGCCTTTCTCCTCCCTCTTTGGTTTTGTAGGGTTGAAGGACAGTTTTTAATTGCACCTTATGGAAGGAGGGATGAATGTTTTGTTGTTCTCAGGTAGGTGCCAGGGAAGCTCCCGTCTCTCCCACTGGCCGTTTTCCTTCCCAGGCTGGTCTGGGAGCACAAAACCGTCTCAAGGCTGCAGCAGAACCAGCAAACACTTCTTTCTGCCACAGGCTTAAGAGCTGTTTCATGCACAAGGATGCATGAGGAAAGGCACTGTCTGATGAACCCCAACTCTCGGACTGAAGTTCCCAGCTCCAAGTGGTTATTTTAATGAATATTACAATTAATATCCCTCAACAGAGGGTGTTTCCAGCTTCCTGGGCAGCGCCAGGAGGCACCGATTGATGGCTCTTCCCCAGGAGACAAGAACTGCAGTCCCCTCAGGCTGGGTTTCTCTCTCGGTCCGTTTTTCCTCAGCAGAGTCGTGGCCTCACTGAAATTCCTAATGGCTGTATCATTGTGTAACCAAAATCATACTTCAGCTGTTTGGTGGTTGTACAAACATGCCTTAATCTGAGTTAATTCCTGGAAGTGAATCTTCGTACAAATTTAGAAACAAACATTTCTCTTTTCTCTGTGGGGAAGTAAAAGGATGTTTGCTCCTACATGGAGTTTCCATTCCCAGTACTGGCAGATGACAGTGATCAGGTGAGGTATCAAAAGATCGCAGACAAACCCTTTAAAAATCAACTGGTTGTAGAAGAGATTTTATTTGGTCTGTCTGGGCCAAATTCACTCATGTGGAACAGTGGAGTCGGGTCATTTGAAACTACGCTCAAATAAAACCTTGCTCTCTGCCTACTTTGAAATCCTTATTAGTAATGCATAGTTTTCCTTTACAGACGGTGTGTTAAATCCTGTGCAAACACAGGAAAAGACGTCCATTCAATAGAGACTTCATATTTATTGAAAGAAAAGAACTAGAATAAGTACAAAACGGGTTCAGGAATACAAATGCTCCACATCTTTTTATCACAGTTCGTGTTGCAAAGTGATTTCAGAAAAAAAAAAAAAATAGGGTAAAGTTGCATGAAATACCTAATGCATGATTTTGAAACATTAGTTATTAGAATGGAGTGATTCTTCAATGGAGCCACTGGTATCTAATTAGTTAACTTCTAAGGCAAAGCAGGCAATATACCAGCTGATGCAATGGGTGGCAGCAGGAGTTTGGAAATAAATATCTCTATTTGGCACTGAGAAGTGAAACAGAGCTCAAATTTCTGTGGATTGCCTGGCCCCAAGTTCATGCCTCAGAGCTCACATTTCTGTGGTAAAGGAAAATTAAATCTGAGTTTAAGATCTCGGGTTCAATGTGGCTATTTATTAAAATTCATCTGGCTTCCCTAGACTGTGAATATTTTGAGTTGACCTAGATGGAGCTCTTAAAAAAATCAAGCTCTCCAGTGTTTTCTGATAAAAGCTTAGTAGAATTGTGCTTACAAAAACTGAGACACTTTAAAGGGGTGATTATCATCCTAGCTACAAACCAGAAACACAGTGGCATGTGAAAACAAAGAACAAACAAAAATCCCAAACCTCCAGAAACCCCAACCGAGCAAAAAGCGGGGGAACAGCCATTCATGGTGATTTATAATGTGTTTGGTCTTGGGTTCATTCAGACTGCCTCCTTAGAGATGCTGCAGTCAGGGCCACGGCTGCACCAGGCTGCCGGCAGAGCCGGTGGGGGAGCCAGCGGCCCCAGCAGAAAGCAGCTCAGCTCCCTTCTGCCCACAGCGGCTCGGCGCAGGAGCCCTGTCCACAGCGGCAACAGCTCGGGTGGGTATCTGCTGTTAAATGAGATGATTCTAGCATTAATGTATTCAAATGTATTGCCTGATTGTGTCTACGACTGTCCCACTTTTGTGTGTGTGTGTGTGTGTGTGGGCGTGTGTTTTCAGCTTTGGTAGTCCCTTTGAAACAAGATTCCTGTTTCTCAATATCAGACCAAAGGCAGTACGACAGATGGTACTAGAGTTGGCTCTCCTGAGTCTATCCTGTGCATCGCTAAGGAGGCTTGTTCGTCCTATGCATCCTACGATGCCCTGGAAGTACCAGCATTTTGTCGTTCGACTTAGTTTCCATCATCGCTTTTCTACTTGGAGATTCTGCCTACTATCCTTACGTCACCTCTCTCAGTCAAAAGTGCTGTTTCTTGGGCCAAGCAGAGATTTCTGGTTCCAGCTCAGTTTAGCTTCAGAAGCCCGACATCTGCTGCCTCACAGGCAGCGGCTACATGCCCTCATACATCTGTCAACAGGTCTCTGCGTGAGTTATCTCAGCAGCAGACGTACAACAGCAGACCTGAACAGAGCCCTTGAATTCAAAGGACAGCCTACCACCAACGGTTTACTCTACAGACAGCACACTCAGCACTCCCAAACCACTACCTTTTCAGCTTAAAATTGCGTCACAAGTGACAGCGAGTGCATTGCGTCACAAGTGACAGCGAGGAGCAAGACACACTGCCCTTCCTATTTAGCAAGTATACGCTTGTGCTCTCAGCCAGCTTTGTTCATGTCCGTTCCTAAGGAAATGCAGTTCAGTCGATCCGGTCTCGGGCAGCGACTGAAGGGCTGTGCAGACTGCACTGCTACGGAACGGGTCTAAGCTTAAAGAAAGGTTTGCTGATGTGGTGATGAGCAAGCTGGAAAGGTCTCTCTGCTGCTAGCTTGATAGAAGAAAATAAAAAGTAAATGATTATCAAAAACGTGTGTTTGATTAGGTGTCACTGAGAGAAAGAAAATGCCATTTCATGTCACTTTTTAGAAAGCACAAGGTGTGTAACTTTTGGGGATGATTTTGCTCTTGACTAATCTTCAGATTCGATATTAAAATCTCAAACTTCCCAAAGGAAAGAGATTCTGCATCTTTTAATGAAAGATAAAACAACAATATAAACATACACAAATTTACAGAGAAAGGATCAACTTTAATACATCTGGAGTAAAAGGTGTTCTTTTTTAAATATGGTATAAAAATAAATGCAAGAAACATTAACAGAGAATATACAGACAACAGACAAAGACACAGGCTTTCTTTCTCAATGTGAATACATCAGTGAAATGAAACCTTCTGTGCTAATTTATTGTGCAATAAATGTGATGCCATATGTATATTTATTAATATATGCATTTTTTACATTTCTTCCAGTTTTTTGACGTATTTTTTTTAATAAACTGTGCCTAGCAGAAGCTTTTTTTTCACTGTACTTGAGCTTGCAGAAAATAAAAAGACACAGATCCAGCTTGATATGAAGGAGGAAGTGAGCAGACAGTTTTCGAAATGGAGGCATCGAAAGGCTAGAGAGTCCCTCGGAGTCTGTAATGCCTTAGTATACACAAAAGAAAACAAGTCAGGTCCTTGCTCATGCAACATCTTGTTCTACTGTCCTCTGAGTCAGGCAATCAGTGAGCTACAAAGTATGTATAATGATTTGAGTCTGCTTCCATGCTACAAGGTGATCCTTTTAGTAGGACTGCACTAGACTGGTTAACCTCTTTGATGTGAGCGATTTCCCCTGAGGAAAAGATAAAAACAAAAAACAAAAACAGAAAACAGAGGCATGATCACTGCAAACCTGTTCATCAGCAACCACTTAGTGTTGCCACATCACTGTCAAATAACTAGGGACACCAACTGGAGTCTGTCAAATCTTAAACCACAGGATGCCCTTACACCTAAACACCTGCACTGCCAGCCAGCCAGATTGTTTCACAGAATAAGCCAGCAAATTTAAAGGTCGTTTTTGAATGAGGTTGGGTTTGGCTGAGGAAAAACTCATGCTGAGGTTTTTGCTGTCGGTCACACCCAGAACCTGAAGAAGGCTACTACAAGCGAGAGCGCCTTGTGCTACAAAGATGAACGTGCAAGTTGGAGTAGCTCTGTCACAAAAGACAAAATGCTACTTTAAAGTTCAGGTAGGAAAGTAAGAGGCAGATTGCATATAGGCAAGAAAACAGCTTTTCCATGAACGCAGCTATCGGATTGCTGAGACTCTATTTACTAGTTATAAGGAACATTGGTCAGGTGTATTTCATGTGACTGCATAACGCTGCTTTGAAGGTGTTTGGATTTCCACATTGTTATTTTCCTCATCGTTCCTTCTGTTGCAAGGATGCAGTTTCAGGCTTTTAGCAAGTTTTTTTTATAAAGTATAATGACTGTCCCACAAGTGCTAGGTCTACAGCGTGAAGAGGAGGGCGTAGGGTATGTCACCATGGTATATTTCAGGCAGATTTGAGCTTTAGCTGAGCCAGATAAAAGTCATGAAACCGCGTAAACAGGAATCAGCTCTCCCAAGTCCACATAAAAGGAGTTAGCTCTCCTAGGGCCATCCTGCCGTGACTCTGATCCAACAGAGCCAGAGCTGGCACAGCAAGCTTACATCACTCCTCAAAATACCACGGGCATACCCTGATAATGTAACACAAATAGATCATAAAACATTAAATAGAAAGCGGCTCTCTCTAACTCTCCAGTTAGATATTTAATACTTACATTTATTGTATTGCTCATTTTAAGTGCACAACTCAGAAAAATCAAACTGATTTCAAGGACACTACCGTAAGAAATACCGTAACTATGGAGAGATGCTACATTTTCTGCAGTAAATGGTAAATGAACTTATGCTGCCATATCAATGAGTTGTTAAGGCATCTGCTGTATTATAACTCAGTGGAATTACACAATTTAATACGTATTGTCATTATCAATTAAATTTATGCTTGCAAGCATCTGCAAGTTGGTTTGAGCATTTGCTCAAATGCAATATATCAGATGGGTCTTCACAAAAGGGAGAATAACTATTTTATTCTTTGTGCTCTGAAGTACAAGTTGAAGAAATTAGGATGAATTATTCCCTTACAATATAATTTTGAAGGCAACTCATGATCTGCAATGTTGGGTTAGACTGCTCACTCATCAGGTTCACCATATCACCTGGCAGTATTAGTACCCGCTTCTTGGACAGATGGAAAGTGTCCTTCCTGGCATGCTCTCTCCTCTGTGTCTAGCTTTCAGTCTTTCTACCTACGTTAAATCCACAGCTTCTTGTTAAGCCTTAAATTATGTTTTCCTCTTATGTAACAGGTAAGCTGTTATAGTAAGACATCTTTTCTTTTTGAATAGTCCAAAAAGTCTTGACAGCTGTGTGGCACTGGAATACAATTTAAAACAGCATGTCCAAAATTAGGTGTTGTGTTAGGTGATTCATGATTGTCAGCCCTAGACATAATCGGAAAATATTGACCATACGCTTATCTTTGCCTTTCATTAAGTTATTTGTGCTTAATTTTACAGGTCTATAGGCCTGGCTACTTTCTGTAAATATGTATGAGTTCCCTTTAGGATTGGACTGCATAAACCAGTTAATTAAAACAATTCAAGCAGGAGTTCTCTATTAGTTATTAGAACAATTTGCTCAGTACTGCACTGGAAAGCTGCACAAGCTCTTGCTGTGGGATAAAATCTGTGAAATTTTTTTAATGCTTATCTGTAACAATTGATTATTTAGGAATTGTAAATTCCCTGGAATTTTTAGATGAACCATAACCAAATTCTAGCAACTCAGGAATGAATTGTGATATCACATAAACAAGGAAGTTTTGATGTAAAAGCAGGCCAAAAGGTAGCTGATAGTTGATCTGACTTGTATAATCTTATTCTACAGATTATTTGAATTTTCCCCTATAGACACAGTGAGCTGTCATGACAATTTTTTTCTGCATTCTACATCACTCACTCCCTGAAAATTGCTGGTCTTTGGATACCTTTTCTCCAAAGCGCTACAGTGATCAGGACTTCTCTGGATGGTCCTCTCCACCTCCTCTCCCTGCCTCAGAGAATATTACACTTCTTACAGGTACGAAGTCTCCACCTGAACAACAATAACATATGCTCTTTTCCCGGGTATTAGTAGTTCTAATTTCTCTTACAGTTGGAAAAGTGACAGCTTAGACGATTCACCCTCCTTAAGAGATCTTCTTCCATGTATATTCTCAATCGTACTTAGTTCTCTGATTGGGAAAATAAGCTTTTAACACACAGAATCCATAGAGGCCCCAAATACAGAATTATCCCACCTTCTTATTCAGATCTGCAGGGATTTGTTCTTTTCCAGTGTACAGAATATTTCTTTCAAACTCTGTTCCAGAGTATACTTTTACTTTAGCGCTGTATGTTAGGGTTTCATAATTATCACTTCTAGGAGATTTCCAGATTTACTCAATTTACAGACTGATGTAAGCCTCACTCCTTGTGGGACATAGTTTAAGAGCTGAGCCTAGCTATTTCTTTCAGATACAGCGTTAATAGAATTTCTGTAAGCTAAATTTTGATTTGAGAAACTTCATCTAACAGGCCAGTTTTGAGAGGTGTAGCGTATGAGTCATCACACATAGGAAAATATTTCCTGTGCTAAGGAGATTAAAGAGCAATTGGAAAAAAAGTTGGAAGAAGTAGTAGATGTTTGTCTGAAGAATAAAAAGGAGATCTCTAATATTTTCAATATATTCTTGCCATCAACATTTAGAAATATACGGCCAAATTCTAAATAGCATTAGGATTTTTGGCTCTATTGGTGCATTTTGGACACAAGAATTGAAACTATTTAACATTTTTACTAAGAATACCACAAGCCAAAATGAAATCCTGCGCACATACCCTGACAAGGGAATTGGAGTATGAGGAGGCAGCACAGCGGTTGGAGTGAACAAGTACATCAAAAAAAATGAAATCAGTTGGCCTCAGTGTTCAGTCCCTACCTTAGTATAGTAAGTGTTCAACATAGAGGTGTCCTCCCAACCGTACTTTTAGAGAATTTAAGGGGAAAATTACAAAATCACGTGCAGATGTATGAGCTGCTAAATACCAACGTGCTGACTGACCTAGTTATGCAGCGTGACACTAACACCCCAAATAATCCGGCAAACAAGTCAGCAACAACCTCAGTACCTATGTGGCTTGTAAGAAATTAATATGAAATTTATATAGGGGCTGGAGCTGAAATGTATGGTAGAGGAAGATCAAGTCTTTTCCTTTTAGAAGATTAATTCTCTTCCTTTCTGCTAGGCAACCTCAATGGCTCCTTTTTCATGTTTCTTTATTGCCAGCGCAGATGCTACTCCCCAGGACTGATACCGGTAGAACTAGAAAAGAGAACTCCATGCATCTGACCAGGTAACAGAGAAACAGTGTGAAACCTGCTGTGAGCAAGATGAGATGCAGAGCGAGAATCAACCCTCGCTCTCACTGTTCCCCATCTGCTCACGTGTGACACACCTGCAGCACGCCGGTAGCTCGGCCGGCATCGGCAGGGAAACCTCCCAAGTGATGTCGCAGTGCAGCACACACAGAGCCGGTATATAAACAGCCCCTGATAGAAGCACATCTGGAGAGGCACCGGAGCAGAAACAGTAAGTCCCTTTCCAAGACGAGGCAGCCCTTGCTCCTCTAGCAGAGGGGAATTGCTTTAGCACCACTCAGGGGGTCGGGATTCTGCTTCGATTGCCACAGCAGCACAGGATGCTGCTCTCAGCCACCCGCGGCAGGTGTATTTCTCTTTCAGACATGTGAGGAAGGGGAGCATTTACTGAATTTGGGGCATGAGTTGTCAGCACAGCTGCAGCGCTAAGTGGTTGCATGTGCAGGAAAATCCTGCCTATAGCAGGGATTTGCAGTCCTCTGTTCATTTCTCATTAGGGCCGTACCGTTTCCTGGAGCGGTCCATAGACGGGAGGCAGCAGCTGAGCGACTGCGTTCCTATCTTGGCTTGTTCCAAATCAGGTGACGCTCCCAATTTCTTTTGCCTTTCACACTAATCTTTACATTTACGGATGACCTGCTCTCATTTGTGATTAACTCACAAACTCTTGCCAGATGGGGTAGTTTGAACTTGAATAACCATCTGAATTGTGGGGTAACACAGAAGATTTTCCAAGGCACCAATGCACTAGAAAAATATTTTTAGCATGTTTGTCCTAGGCCTGACCCCTCAGGTTTCTACACCTCTGCAGTTCTCATTCCTGCAAATAGCTTAAGGCTCAGGGAAATGTTTGTCAGCTGGGAAATGGCAGACCCTGGCCTAATACCTGAATGGTATGTGCTGGCTCTTCACATGAACCTGGCTGTGCAAGTGCTGCTACCCCTCAGCTCTTCTCTCTGGCGCAGAGCACAGCAGCTTAGCTCCAGTCACTGCAGAACAGGACAAGGAGGCCAGTCCTCACTGGCCTGTCCCACAAATGGTCTTTTTGATTTTCCTCATTAGCCTGGGCATCATTCCTAAAAAACCCCTCAAACTAGATTTTTGGATTTATTATTGGTCTAAACTAAAAATTTCAATTATTTCATCAATTCTTTTTAGTCAAACATCAATAAGGCATCTCTTTCCTGATGCAGAAAAAGCCTTAATTTCTACAAAGACTTATTATTATTGTTTCGTATTTGTCAATAAGAAGCTTTGTGATTTTTTTTTTTTTTCTGACTATTTGCTAGCTACTTTTTGGCTTAAATTTTAGGAATAACCTGTAAGTAAATTCAAAAGACTAATTGGCATTTCTTCCATGACTGCACATTGAACATGAGGTCCCACAGCTGATACTGCATTGAAGTTCATTCACGATGTAGTGCTTGAGAAAAATATAGCCCCTGGTGGGATTTCAGGGCTAGATGGACTTTTGGTCTGGGACAGTAGGGCTCTTGTGTTCATATAGAAAAAATTCTTGATTAACAGATGAAATTGATATATTATCTGCCTTGTTTCTCAATAAAGGGACAGATTTTAACATGACAAGAAGTTACACTGCTTTAAGCATCTAGAAAGTCTATCCCCCACTGATAAGAAATGAGGAAGCTATTTTTATTAGTTTTCATTTCCATCTCTAGACCATAATTTGCTATGTCACATTAAGTGACATTGGACTGAGCCTCTGTGAAAAATGCTCTGTGTTCAATGGCCTTCACATTTCACGTCTCATGCATGAAATGGTCTCATGTTACTGGTTTGGAGGAGGAAAACATCTAAGGACACTGGGAAGCAAGTTCTTCCAGCTAAGTGGGAGAAGACTGATCTTTAAGGTCCCTTCCAACCCAAACCATTCTATGATTCTGTGATAACAGCTGGAAAGGGTAGGGGTAATGTAAGATATAATGGTTTTAAACTCAAACTTATTAAATGGGGCCTTGTTTAGGAGGTTATGAGTGAAGATAATTACTATCTGATGGCTCTCTAGTTTAATATATGAACTGAATTAGGTCTGCTTTGTACAGGCTGTGTTTTCATAAAACATGAAAACTTGCAACAAGCACATTTTTTTGCCTTCTCTATCATTGGGCAGCAACCGATGAAACTCTAACGCTGACAGCGGCATCTGTGACACCAGCACGTGACGATGGAGTATCTCCCCCCGGGCAGCTCTGAGGAGGGAGACCGCACCTTCTTGCCCCACAAACTTGGTTCCTGGGGAGACAACACAATTTGCATGGGCCGCAAATGAAATTAGCCCCATCGGCTATAAATGAGATCATTTCAGGCTTCTGAAGCGATGATCACAGCTAGCCACCAGGCTAGCGTTCACAAAGGTCTTGCTCCGACTACCACTCTGCCACTGCCACAAATCCCTCATGCACATGAGAAATGAAAGACAAAAGTTTTCCTTAAAGGATCTCTTTGTTCCCATCAACATTATCAGTGCATATTCACTTGTTTTTTTCCTCTGTAATGTAGATGTTAGTACTTGAGGTAGAGGAAGTTTCCTGATATTTTTAATTTTTAAAAATTATTTTGAAAAATATGGATTTTTTTCTTCCCCATGTAAATTCCTCAAAAGAATTTCACTTTTTTAAATGCCACAGAAACAGCTGATTTCCCTCTCTCTACTACCACGGCAAGCAATGAGATTCTCCTGCTCCCTGCCTTACGCCTTTAGCTTCCCTACTCACCTCCTTGGGGACCTGCGGGTGACTAGACCTTAATTATTCCCGAAGAGAAACCGGAGGGGCTGAGCTGGTGACGGGGGAGCACAGAGCACACTGTGACCACCGCTCCCCGTGCTGCTGAGTCAGAGCTGTGACACTTGTGGGTGCTGGTGTTATTTCAAGGCAATGCACTTATCCAGTGGCATCATTCCAGCAGTGCTGAAGTGTATGTGCTCTAGATTTTCACACAATACCTGGGACTGTGAATAAGTGACGCAAGCCAAGAATAGCTGTGCTTACTACTCAGAGGCAAACTATAAAGTGTTCCATAATAAATATTACATATAGCAAATGCCAACTTGCTGTTACTTTATCTATTTTGTACTTGAAGGCAGACCTGTTTCTAACATTATTGTCAGTTGTGGACTGCCAAAGGCATTAGTGATTTTGCACTATAAAATCTTACAGAGCAAGCTAAATAGCCAATGTTTTTAAGCTGAGCATTTAGGGCTCTCAATGTGCACCAACTTATTGAAAGTTTTCTGGAAAGAAAACTCTCCAGTGTCAAAGCAACGCAGAGCTGAGCCTAGGTTTTTTTGTGTATATAGCTCCACTTTTATTTTTTCTCCATCAGACTAGAAAAATGACTCATTATATTAGGTTATTTCCACTTAATTCAAGGAATAGTACGGAGGGATTGGACTTACAAAGTTTCTAAACTTTCTAGTTTAACAAACCCTTTCTGTAGCAAGTATAACCCACTTTCAATCATCATGGATCAGGAGGCTCTTATAGTCTCTGTCTTAACGAATCAGGTTATGAATTACAAGGTCATCTTCTCAGGTTCAGTCCCTAGATGCAACCAAGATTGCTTTTTTTTTTTAAACACTTCAAATGGAAAAACCTGAAGTCTAATTTAGTTCAACAGAAACCCACTTTGATATAAGTGAGAAAAAAAACAGTGAAAATTAGTCTAATTTTTCTAAACCATCAGAGGAGAAGAGAAACTGTAATTCTCATCTTACTAAATCATTCAGAGACGACAGCATCGATCCAGGTTGCAGAAGACCTGCCTCACACCTATTTTCTGTATTAATCAAAAGAACAGATCTATACCACAGTCCCTCACTTCACAGTTGAACAAGTTAATAGGTACACTGTAGAATATTCTGAGAAATGTTTTCCTCATCCTTGCTGGTTGGAACCACTGTACCAAGGTAGATAATTACAAAATAAACTCATCATAACCAAGAACAAGAACAGAAGAACAGGATGCCTGGTGGCAAGGGGTCCTGGGGCAGTGGGTGATATGAATTCAGTTGTCTCGGAGAAAAGGTTTGCACTTGAGCATCCTGACATTCTGGATTAATTTGCAAGCCTCGGAGCTGCTGCTCTAATAGGGAATATAGATCTAGCAGTGACGTGTTTTACTTTCATACCTGACCCGACTTGACAGACTCCACCCGGATTCACAGGTAGTAGTTTGAGGAAAAGCAAAACCACAGTTTTTATTTTCTAGCTTGCTCCGTGAAAAAAGGATCACCCTCTTCTACTGAAGAAGTGCTAACGCTTCACATCCAGAAATCCTTGTTCCCATTTCTAGCTCACAGCTGGTTTATTGGGCCTGCCTGGCATCTCTGGCATCCTGCTATCCTGGTAATTCTGCCCTGAGATTAGCACGATGAAAATCAGGCACGCCTGCAGAGCGTAATGCTCCAGTGTTTGTGCACACAACTGCTGGTTTATCAGTAATGCTGCTCCGCGAGGGATTGTCGGGGAGTCATTTTAGTGCCTCCCAGTCTGTCTTCAGTGTTTCTCTTTTTGTGCTGTATTCTCCCCACATTTGTCTGCAGCTTGCTACTTCTCTCCTTACAGCCACCCGTCTATGTGCTCTTTACCGTAACTAATTCCTGATCCGTGGGCTGTTTAGACTCCCATGAAAAAATGTAGCTATTGCAGGTTGCCAGGCACCGTGACTGGGCACAAGCCTGACTCTTGGACGTCCCAGATGTACTACCTGCTCTCTATACTCTGTTGTATTAACATAGGCTCTTTTATTAATATGGAACTTCCTATGAAATTATCATGTAATCATCATGTATAATGTTATCATGTACAATGTTGTTTTATAGCTCAACCAGCTGACACAACACACAAATCACACTGCAACATGCTACGGCAACACCACCATGCAAAATATAGGGGTTTTTGTTTCAAACATTGGGATAGTTTCCTTTGTGGCTGTTTATTTACTTTTTAGAGTCCTTTACTGACTTTGTCCCATTGAATCCAAATTTCTTCCTGATTACAGTGGATTCAAAGCATATTACAGGAAGCCTTTACCTATAAGAAAGTAGTTAAAGAATTACAGTTTTGTTTTAACATGGGAGATATTCCCACAACCTCATACAACTTTGATCTTTCACTGCATTTGTTTCTTTTTTTGATTACTAGAAAGTATATATATATTTTAAAAACTTGAGGAAATACTCTTGAGCCTCATTATACAGGAGGCAGTTTCTGAGAACTGCTTCTCCTTCCCTAGAAACTAAAAAACAAAAACCATGATCTTTGCTGAAAGCTCTCATATTTTTCATATCAACGCACACAGCTCCACTAACCAGGTCACAAAAAAAGCCACAGACGCACACGCACACACAGCAGCATCACCTGCACAATTCAACAGACAATGCAGACAAACTTGAGTATAATCCAAGATCTTTCTACCTCTTTTCATAACAGGTTAGTGCTCGCCCTCAGTGTTGGTGTACAGTTTTTATGGCATGGGAAAATAGGGATGTTTCTGCCCTACAAAAATAAATGCGTTGAATGCTTTAGTTTGAACTTCCACAATGTTAAAAAAAAAATCCAAAGAAACTGGATAAGCAAAAAGAATCCCACATATCAGGAAATCAGTGGACCTTTTAGCAGATGGCAAGAGAATGCCCACAGCAAATTCACCAGCCTACATTCTTTTACCGTTGTGAAATAGCTTTCGAAAATTATATATTAAAAAATAAATCAGTTCTTGTAGTCCGTTATCAAAATGAAATCCCAATCAAACCCTTGCGCATCATCAGCATGAGTTCTTTGGTCCTGAAGAAGCTGTGCTAGACATTAAGGAAGATGGGGAAATTATTATTCTTTAATCTTCCCTGTGCCCAATTTAAAAAAAAAAAAAAAAAAAAAGGCACAAACTCTTTTTTAGTAAAATAAAAAGGAGACAGGAGGGAAATCCAATGTGTTCAAACTGTGTCAGTATTTTGGGAGGCACCAGAAAAAGGAACAACATCAGGCAGGTTTTCATAGATTCTTTACTAAAATTAAAAAAAAAAAAAAAAGTGAACAATTTCATGCTTCCTAATGCAAAAAGCATGGCTCCCAAAGGTCCATTTCTCCATGTGTGACTATTGAGGTTAGTGGGAAAGGGACTAGGGAGGAGGGGTTGTAATGAAAGCACATTATAAAGCTGTCATTCCTAGGAAAATTCACAAACTGTGATAAATACACTTTTTAACTGTCAGGTTAGAGAAGCAAAAAGGGAAAGTAGGGATCAGTGAGGGGGAGGGGAGAAGGATGTCCCATCAAGTTTACTATTCTTCCGAGGCAACAAACTTACCACATTGCGTGTGAATTTCTCAAAAGATGTTCGACGATCCAGTGTGTTTTCCAACTTAAATTTAAAATAATAATAATAAAAAAAAGAAACAAAAAAAAAAAGGAGGGGAAAAAGAAAAGCAAGAAAAAATGGAGTAGAAAAGAAGGATCGATGAAACAATGGACTGCAAAACAAATTTTGTATAAATCAGGAAGCAAACACAGGTATGAAGCTGTAATGAGACTGCAAAACGGGGTGGGCAAAGCAGATATAGTATTTGACAAAAATCATTCTACGTGGGGATCAAACTGGTTTGACTTAAAAGAAAAACTGAAAATAAAAAGAAATAATGAAGTGCACATCTTGTGTTAATGAACTGACATTCACAAACTTAAGGACTTCACACGGACAGTTGTAGCTTTCTGGTATTTTCAACATCTCTTTCTATATTGGATCTTCAGAAATCAATGTTTGAACAAAAAACAAAATCACACAGTACTTTCATATAATTTTCGGTTGTCATTATAAACAATAGAATGCTACGGTGTTAATAACTACCTCGTTCCGGTAACGATCAGGGCCCTGATTATGCAAGGCACAGGGCTCCCAGCTGATTCTAGGAAATCGCTATTTAGAGCCCACTAATAAAATTATTTATCATTATAGAAATCTGCATTGCACAAGCTTCTCCACATCTCTGGGCTGTGTCTATTCAGAACTCGTTCCAAAATCTGGACTTTTCTAAGCAAATATTACATACCAAGACATGAGCCTCTGTTTGCCGAAGTGTGACATGATCAGTCTTTCAAGTCAGATTCCTAGCCTACTCAAAACTATTCATGTAATAAAAAGAATTAGGAAGCCCCTATATTTATAGTTGAAATTAGAAGTTATTCATATGAATAAGATGATTGTTTCTAAACACATTCTGTAGCTTTTATAGGTGGAATAAAGAGAACAACAATTATTACATAAGCAAACTTGCAAACATGAAGACTATTCTTCTGGGATTTTATTTTATTTTTTTAATGTATTTGTAAAGCACTTTGCAATTTAAGGTGCTTCATAACAGAGAAAACAGTACAATATGGGATGTAAAAATAAAAATAAGTTTTGCTAGATTAACTTATTGAAACATGCCCGCATGCAGGATATATACACATATATGTATATTGAACTCCTGTGTGTATGTGACCCTCCAAACACGCCAAGCTGGTCACCTACCAGATATCCAGTTGCACTGGCACAGGGGAGAGAAGACTGAGTATTGTTGCAAACATAACCACCGCTTTGCACAGTGGCAAGACAAAGGCAAGATGGACCAATACCTTTTTCTTGGCCTGTAGCAGCTCCTGGTAGGCACTGGATCGTATAAAACGAGGATAAGAATCACTTTTCATCAGTTTGTAAATGTGCTCCTGAAAGGGAAAGAAGGAGCTGTTACTCCCTTAAAAGCAGACATATATGGTTTAGTTGTGGAATGTATATCAGCTAGCACTATTTTGAATAGGAAGCCTTATGGGATAGTAGCGTGCAGTTCTGAAGCTGAGGCTGAATTGCTCTCTATTCTTAAAGCAGAAATCCCGCCTGTTTGTTATGTATAGAGAACACAACACACCCTTCTTTAATTTAAAGTACTTATTTCCACTACGGAATTATTTTTCTAAGAATTTACAACTGAGTCCTAGCTTAAAGCCCAGTTTCAAACCTCCCTGACATCACTCAGTTTAGCTAAGTGACTAAATCAGGAGCTGTGGTTCCTTCTTCATCAGATTTTCTGAATTAGTTTCTGGAGATGCTTTTCTGACTTCGTAGTCTGGGAAAAGGTACTGGGTTTCTAATTCAGCACAACAAATATGTGCTTAAGTTAGGGAGGATATCCCCTGGCTACTCTTGAAAACATCCATTGACAGATGTTTATTCTGCTATCCAGCTGACAATATAAAAAGGAAAATACATATGCAAATTGAAAAACAGTTCCAGGCTATTGTGGCTTAACCTAGCATGCAGCTAAAAAAACCACACAGCCGTTTGGTCACTCCAGTGGGATGGACGACAGAATCAAAAAGAAAAATGGTAAAACTCGTGCGTTGAGACAACGACACTTTAATAGGACAGGAAAGGATATTAATATTAATAGAATATACAAAACAAGTGATGCACAGCACAATTGTTCACCACCAGAACCAATGCTCAGCTAGTTCCCAAGCCACACCACCTCCTGGCCAACCCCCCAGTTATATACTGAACATGATGTCATATGGTATAGAATATCCCTTTGGTCAGTTTGGGTCAGCTGTCCTGGCTGTGCCCCCTCCCAGCTTCTTGGGTGCCCCCCACCTTCTCTTTGGCAGGGCAGTGTGACCGCTTGGCAACAACTAAAATATTAGCGTGTTATCAACATTATTCTCATCCTAAATCCAAACCACAGCACTATACCAGCTGCTAGGAAGAAAATTTAACTCTATCCCAGCCCAAACCAGGGCACAGGCTAATCTAATTTCAAAGGTATTCTTCAGAGGCATATAAAAATTTGGAAACTCTTATCCAGAAAACAAATGACACGGGAGGTTTATAGAGCTTTTCTTTCTGGAGCATTCTCATCTCTGTAAAATATGAAAAACTAAAAATCTATTATGTGGGACACTTTATAATCGTAGTTCTAGTTATAATGCTAGGAAAAAGATTTGTCAAAAAAGTAATCGGAATAGGAAATACAATAAAAAATATTTTTTTATAAATCCACTGAATTGTGTTTGCTATTTCTGTTTTATTTTTTACTCAAACCCTACCTTTTACTATAGGAAACTTGTAGCTAAGCAATCAGGAAACGGGAAATAAACTGTAAAGTAAATACTGTTTCTCAGGTTGGTACTGCATAAAATTAGTGAATAGAAAAAGAAAAAAAAAAACCAACAAATCACCTTGCTTGAAAATTATAGCAAGGTAAAATTCAAGTTGATGGTTTCAGTTTTTTGGTGTAGTTTGTTTTTTTGTATTAGAAACTCTCAAAATGATTCTAAGTGCCTTTCATTGTATTTCTTGCACTAAGGAGAGAAATTCTGGTGTACATTCAGAACTGAGGCTGGTTCATTTGGGGAGTTTTTGTTCCACTCAGTTTCTACAAAAGTGGCCAATACTGCCAACAGAGAGTAGAAAGGATTTTGCTCCTGTTGTACATATCAATGGTGATGGGCATGAAAATGCTATTTCTATGCAAAACCCAACCCTGTAAAAGCAAGAACAAATTAGGCTGTATTAGTATTCTTAATGTACACATTAGTCAGGAATTGAGGCTGGATGTTATTTAGGACAATCAGTCTATTTTTAACTATGTATCACTCTCATTTGACATGGAGTTCCATGGTGCCACCATTCAAGCCCGGAAATGCTTTTCAAAACATTTTTGACCACGGATTAATGACCTGCCAGCTGCCAGAATGACTTGTAAGCGGTCTCTTCCCAACTGGCAGGCCATGAAGACCCCATTGCAGAGGCAGAGCCCTACTCCTGACAAAACCCTGCCAGTTCAGGTGGCGCACCCCGTAAAGGTCCTAAAGCTTCAACTCAGAACACGGCAGGTACAGTCCGCCCCCTGTTCCCAGAGAAATGGAGGCTTCCAGGTTCAGCCATATGCTGAACTGGATCAAACAACCCGAGGTATGACAGGAGGAAAAGTCCTGCTTACATAAAGACTGAATACTCCATGTCTTTCATAAATGAAAGGGGAAAAAAGAGAAGAGAGATCTGGAAGTAAAATGGCGTTGAAATTTTACAACTTTTTTTTTTTTTTTTTTTAATATGGACACCAAGGAATTTACTTGTACTTTACTGTCTCAACTGCAAAGACCTTTTCTCTTGCTAGATTGTTTATTTGTGTAAGTGATGTCTTTGCTATACGCTGCATTCCTAAATCCCCAGGGGGTCAGCAAAAACTGTGTGTTTGGCTTAACGCAGAGTACTTCCAAAAAGTGGGTAAGATATCATGCCTAAGGAAAACTTGATTATTGCATCATAGATTGCTATTCTCATAACAGCAAAATGAAAAGGTGGTAGAATTATTCCCCCTCCTATCTGGGGCAGAGGCACTTTACAAAAAGTAGAAAGCCCCGATTGAACTCCCTTCTCTCCTTTGTGGGACTTGCAGCAGCATCCTCTGAGTCCCCAGATGATGACCTAATAATCAAGCTGTAGGAAATTCTGCAGGGACATGATCTCAATCTCTCCTTTTGACACCATTTCACTTTGCGTTAATAATTAAATTGTCATCACTGGGCTGCTGATGAAAAAGGGAGGACGGCACCAGTTCTACTACTTTTACTGTGAATACAATTCTTTTCTATTGCTTTTCTCAGAAGTCTGCAAAGATGAAATATTAAGTTATAAGTCACATGAAGTGTTGCATTTAATACAGAAATACTTGTTTTTTCTTCTGAGGAAAACCAAGATTTGTATTTTACTGGTTTGTTTAACTTTTACTTCCAATCTTAAAATACAAGTATTTTCACAAATCTAGCTCTGGTCAAAAGTATCTCTTAATGATGGTATTTAAATTGTGACTAAATCAAACCCCCCAAAAGCCAAATAAGACATTTACAGACTGTTTTTACTGCTGTAATACTGATTATTGAAGAACAGATATTTAGGATCTCTGCTCAATGTTCTTTAGAGAGTAGTTTCATAAGGTATAGAATATACAGCATCTGTGAAATATGATACTTCTGCACAAGCTGTTACAAAATGTTATTTCTCACGTGGGTCGTATTCTTTTCATGATGGGGACCTGTGACTCCTATAAATGATAACACTTTTGGACATGCATTGAGAGAACAGAAACTGAGCCTGTATCAAGGGAAGTCTTTCAGAGACAGATCTTGAGAAGTAGAAGTCAATGTGTGTGTAGGGGAAGCTTCTCTCTTAATGTGACTGAATAAGAAAATTAAGAAAACAGGAACATGAAAATATCATTTTCAATGCACTATATGCTTTGCTCTATTTGAAGCCCACTTGAAGACTCTATATCAGGCACAGGAGTTTTCATGAAGAGCTTTAGTAATTCATAGGCCTCATGAATGAAAGAATGTTACCCATTTGCATTGCCAAAAATGGTGGTTTAAGAAACAAACATTACCATTTAATTACCAAATATATCTTTTTTTTTTTGTACATAGATTTCACTAGCCCATATTCTATTTCAAATATCCCTAAACAGGATTGCAAACTGACCTGAGCATCTTCAAATGTGTATCTTCCAGGGTCCTTTACATTCTGCGTGGTTTTGTCATAACTTTTTGAATCTAGGTTGATAGCGCTGGGTGCACCTGGAGCAAGAAATTCTTGCCAGATTTCTTGGACGCGAGCAGGAACTTCACGGATAGGCCTCTTCTTCAGGTCTTCTACTGCTAACCAGAACCTATGGCACAATATAGCATCTTGACTTCCAATTCAGTATAATCATTAATGATGTGCTCACATTCTTCTTTGCTCTTAAAAAAATTTAATGAAGTAACTAAAGTTTTCATTTAAAACATACTAAAAAAAGAGAAATCTGTGATTTTATGTTGGGATCAGCATTCTGGCATACTGTCTCAGGCAATCAATCCACCTTAAGAAACAATTATTACAAGCCTCTTCATGAGATAGGTGGGAAAGCCTTCATTACTTATGTATGGGTAACTTGCCTACGGGAAGGTTTCCATTTAACTGGAATTAAACTGAGATTTCATTTCACCTGAACCACAAGGGGTTATATCACTTATAAATCTATTGCTTTTTGACATTCCTTTCAAAGCTAATAAGAACTTATGATCTTGCTATCTACATGAATCTCTCTGAGTCCTGTTAAACTACCAACTCTGTAACTGTAATTTTGTTACTATTACTCCACAAATAATGTATAAACTGGAAAAGCCCACTATAATTTAATTGATTTATTCAATATTGCATTTCTATGCATATTTTTTCCTAAAATGCTGAATGGAAGTGCTCATTCTCTCTGCTGCTGCTAAGCAAACCAACGTCGGGCAGCCACATGCAGTGCAGGCCAGTTCATTGTATCCTCACTCAGTCTGGAGCAGGATTGAGTACTTTGTGATCACAGCTCGTTAGCTATAAGCTTTGATATTCACTTTTCGTTTGCTAATATGATTGCATTATTTCTTCTATGGGTCTTCAGACTGTCTCAGTGCACAAAATAATTCTAAATTCAACTAGGATCCAGTGCTTAGACATGGTGCAGACCACTTAGTTCTCTGCACCCTGAAAGCTCAACTAAAGTTTGACTTTGTTAAGTACACAATATGTACCATCACAACCTTTTATTATTGCTTTGACACAGCCAATCCTATGAAACAGATAAGATGAACCTTGAAGTGAGTTAACTGTGAAATAAGTTGTATTTTACAAGGCTGACAAATAATTTGGGTGCACCTTTCAAATATGGTTCCACCCTACTTACACCGTGAGATTAAACTGAGGTCTCTTAGCTTAGTTAAACTGGGATGGGATAGGGGAGAAGAACAGTGGAACTGTACTCAGACGTTCCAAGAAAGCAAAATTATACCACCCTCAACACAAATTCTAATATAGTTCTTGCAACAACTCTTAAGAGAGGATAGTAAAGCATAGCAAAGAAAACCTTACAGTATTCTTCCTATGAGACATTCTTCACTTGAGATGATTTACCTTCCAGAAAGCAATTATTCCTTCATAGTCCTGTTTTGAAACTCCTTTGTAGTACAGGTGGAAGGAGCTCATCGCTCACAAGCCATTATGCTCAGCTTCACTCTACTGAGATTACTGTTTTAGGTATTTCTACACCCTTCAATTTCCATAGTATCTAAGCACTACCTGCCTGTCTATTGATCCCTTAAGTTTTCGAAGAGACAGAGAAGTAACTTTTTCCCAGTTTTGTAAATATATTAATAATGTAATAACGTACAGTGGTTTCTCCAAAGTCACAAAGGGAGTCTGTGCCAACAGAAGAACTTCAGTTTCAAAAATTCTGGGGAGCACCACTTATCTCTATGAAGTGCAATGTGAATTGAACATAGACCTGCACAGAGCCTGGGGACGTATCCTGAGAATCTGATGGCAATGTAGTAAGAAGAGAGGCCTCATAACTCAAGTTTAAAAACTGCACAGCTTACAAACTCTTATTCAGTTCACTCTGTCAAATTTGAGCAACCCACTTTGGTTTCCTTAAGCTGTTTTCGATATTTGCATTTAAAAGTGTATATCCTGCAGTGCTAACCCCTTCAAATGCATCTTCTGGGACTGACTGATTACTCATGTGTATCAAAGTTAGGTAAAGAATAGAAAAATGAAAGGGAAGGATGTTCTTTGTAAACACACATTTTCTATCACCCTGCAGACAGCCTGAAGATCTAGCTCAAAGCTGTCACATTCTTGTTTGTTCCATTATATCACTGCCAATACTTCTGGAAGTCACCACAAACATGCCTTAGGATGCTATTTTCCTTTGCAAGTAAACTGTTTCCATATAGTAGGTTATACTCAATTACGGGGAAATAGATGGGAGATAAATTTAACTTCTTTGAGGAAACATTCCGCTTCCAGCATAGAATAGGCAGGATGTACAGACACATCCTTACAGGCTGTACATCAGCTCTTTGATAGATTAATTTTATTTTCCCTTCTAGCATTCAGAAATCCTACGAAAAATGTGAGGTTCTAAATTTAGAAACTTCTGTAAAAGTAGGAAGAAAATGCTGATTTCTGTGGTATGTTATGTCTATGGTGCTTACTACACAGCCAACACACTTTTTAACAATTTAATGTACTTACTGATCTTTCAAGAAAAAATGCCTGTCCTCCTCCCACAGAGTGTTAAAGTCAAATATGCAACGTTAGGAAATGCCAAAATAAGGCTGCTGCCTCTTGCATTTTCAAAAATAACTTTTCTGAATATCCTATGGCAACCAATACCACAGATGAAGTTGAAATGGAGTCTGCAAGACCTCAGCACAGGGCCTCAAATCAAAAGAGCTCCCTGCCCCCTTTTACAGCTCTCTGCCTCATCAGCTGTGAGCAGAGCAAGGGAAGACTCCTGTAGCAAACAGCATGCAGTGTGTACAGTAAATATGTGCACGGGCAGGAGAGGGGGAACCCAATTGCATTTTCTGGACAATGATATACGCGAACTTGGTGCTACTTCATGGAAGAAACTAGACCTCGGTCTCTCTGCCCTTGGATGAAAGTCTGTATCTCCTGTTGGTGGTTTGCTTTCGCCATGGAGACGCTCTCTAGAAGGTGCTCAGTACCATTTGAACAGAGACCTGAGCAGCTAGTTGGAAACCTTACTGCGGTCTTCTGTCCCAGCTGGGTCACATGCCAGATGTATGGCTGAGTGAGAGTGTAAGGCATATGAGAGTCACAGATCCAGCCACATGACATGGTAAGACACATGTTGCAAAACATCTGGATATTATGTTCTCCAGATGGATTACTTTTAAAGTGAGGGTGGCCTTGCCAGATGAATAGCACAGCTGCAACACGGCTTCTGTCCCATTAAGTGACCTAAATGTCAGATGTGGCCATCAGCAGATCCCAGATCAAGCTAATCAGTTAAATTTAGCACATGGGAACACAGAGTGAGAGAAAGACTGCAGTGATTCTCCACAATATGTGTGAGGTTTAGGCACCTCCCACCTTTTGGGAATTATATGGGCTTTGCACTCAGTGCACGTGACACAACAGGTTGGAGGACAGACCTTTCAGCACTTTCAGCAAAGGCAAACAAAAACCTTAATGAACTCCATGGAGAAAATCAGCTAAAATTTTCCAGGGGCAGGAAAGACTACTCTCTGATTCCTAAAGTCCACCTTCTTGCCAAGTACAGCTTCGAGCTTCAAGACATAGTAGTGCTGAAAGTCTTCAAAAAAATGAGAGAAAATCATTAAAACTTGCAACTAGTTCCTTCTCATCTAATCTGTAGAAATGGCAACATTTCTGGGACTTGGAGTTTAAGCTTGAGTCTGAATGAGAAATAAAGCACAGGCAATTTCAGCCTTGAGGATTAAATTTTGATCAAGTTATTAACACCCAAAACAGGGTCTCATAATCAACAGCGTGAAGGATAAACATTACCAGTGCCCATACAGTGTGGGAAAGTGCCATTACCAGCACTTCTGTTCAGACTTGCAGGACAGTCATCAAGGATGGTTAATCAATCTTCATACTTTGTAACATGCAGAACTCTCTCCTCCACCATCAGTGAAGACACTCATATCTTGCATTTAAAGTCATCAAGAGGGGTGATCAGTAATAAAGAGCAAAAAAGTGGTAGTGAAACAGGCTGGATTAAAAAGAATACTTAACCTCTTTCACCATTCTCTCTCTTCTCTAGTAAAAGCACTGTTATGGTGTTATTAAAAGAATAACCAGAACCACTGAAGTAAGTTAAACGTAAAATTAAGCACCATGACTGAAACAGTTTGTAGGCAACACTGCAATTTTTTAGTAGTGTATATGTGGGGTTTTATTTATTTTTTCTACAGGACATAATTGAAGCCTCTATCTCTAGTGCAGAACATTTCTACAACAAATTAAATGGATGAATCCAAACTAAAGACCTCACAAAATCTCATCTTGCAGGGGGATGGTCAGAGAAAATTTATCAACAAAACATCTAAATCTAGATAACTCCTCAGTCCCTCTTTTCTTTTTCTGGACAACCAGAGCTCAAAGCCCCTTTTCCCTATTTACTCACACATTATGGATGCTAATAAATGAGGATCAGAGGAAGGGGCCAGGGGTCCAGTGGCTTTTCCTTCTGTGCATTATGGAAGATGTTCTGTCATCACTCGCTCTTCACCAAGCTAGGAGGCTTTTGCAGCCTTGGCACTACCTTGGAGATCACACCTACTGCAATACGGCATAATGACTTGGACAGGCTTCCAGATTGGCAGGCATGAAACCATTTAGGTCTTTACAGGCCGCAATTCCTACAAAACAACCGCTTGGGAGCAAATGTACAGTCAGCATATGAATATCAATTTTCCAAAGAATTCTGCAGCACTGCAAAACATAGGATAGAGACAGGAATGGGGATTTTCTACAGAGATAAAAGAAATGAGGTCTCCAGGTGCCACATTGCTGTAAGATTCATTTCACTATCTCACTCCCTTTGAAAAGTCCTTTTTGAGTGCTCGGACAGCCTTGTGACCAAGCTCAGTAGTATTGTATCTTGCTCAAACTTAAGTCTTGTGAATTTTAAACAATGCTCACCAGTTTTGTAATAGGCAGTGGGACCTTAATAAATCTATTATCCAAATCATATGTTACTTTAGCTATTTGTTCTGTGTAGTGAGCAGCATGCAAAGCTATCCCTCCAAATAATCTGCACGCTAACAAGAGATTACAAGTCACAGCCTGTGTTAGGTGAGTGCAGAATCCAGCCTGGGGGTTAGCAAACTGCAATCACGCTGTAATGAAGCTCCCACCCTGACAGAACTGCTTAGACAGTTTTACTCCTTTGCTATGCTTTACAACAGTCCTTTAGAGAATGACATACTATTAATCCCAATTTACAGGCAAAGAAAAAAAAAAGCAGAGAGACAGAGTAAGAAGGTGAAACCTGATTGCATTCCTAATCATTGCACAGTTCTTCGTTTTAACTCGCTGCTCAAGATTCTTCATCCCTGTTCTGTTTCTTAAGACAGGATCTATACCCACTAAGAATGAGATTCTCAGCCAGTTTAGACACTCCCAGTCCAAGCTAATGAAACAGTAACACTGGGACTTTTAGCTACAGAAGATAATCACACTTGAATAGAAACAGTGTATCTGGTAGATTTATCATTTCACATTTTTGGCATTTCTTTCACCAAAGCGAGTTATAAGACTACCAATCAACTAATACTGAATCTGCAGTGTCTGCAGTCTTTAGCATGATTATATCTGTATATCATTTTATCATGATTAGTTCTGTAAAAGGACGAGAGCCAGCTACTGACTTGAGTTCACCTTGTTGCAGTGGGAAGATGCGGATGGAAATAAATCTTTTCCTCAAGGTGGATGTCAAATGCAAAAAACCCACCCCCAAACCGAAAATTGCCACAGTAGGGTTAACAGGTGAGCAAAGAAATTGGTGGCCTTTTCAATTTAATGTTTATTCAGTGAGGATGCTTGAAACCATCAAGCTTTTTGTTTCTGTTACTGAGGTCTGTAACATTTTAACTCCCATACACAACAAGCCTTACAAATTCGTGCTTTCTAACCTGACTTTACTGTGTGAGCCCAACGATGGATTGATTTCCCCACAGTTTGAGAATTCATACACACAATTCTGAGCTTATAAGACTGTTTTCCTTCAGTTAGTTAATAACCGCAGAAAACACCTCTTCAGTGCAAATTTGGTCCCCTGTCTCTTCCTTCCCAGGGACAGCCTTTAAGCTCATATTCATCATCGCTAAGCTATTATATTTTATCATGCCAATATAAGAATCTAGAGAGAGAGAGGCAGAAGAGTAGATGGCATGTCAAGGAATCAGTTCTGAACAAATTTCTCTAGGGAATTTTTCTGGATCAGTCACTTGCAGTTTGCCTGTGGTTAGTGTTGTAAATAGGATTAGAAGAAAGAGCTAGGGATTATGTGGGTAACAGTCTAGTTGGCAGAGAGACAAATTAATCACAGAAAAGCATAGAAACTGCGGCACACAGTGGGCTGGATAGGTTCATGTTTGAACAGCTGCTCTGCATAAGGAATTACCAGGATGCTCTTTAAATAAAAAAAAATTACCTTTCCTTTTCTTTGTATTATTCTGATTTTAAAAAATTCATTTTACCATTTGGATTTTTTAATTGAAAAACAAATCTGTATTTGCCACTAATGAAGTTATCAATATACATATACAGGTCAGGCCATATTTCCATGGAGGGTAACGACAAAGAAATCAGTTGAAAAATATCATAAGGTCTGGAGTATCTGATATGTATTTGTGATGCAAAATTCAAAATTTGAATACAAACATGGTCAGCAACTTAGAGAAGTCCATCTCCAATTATTCTGCTGACAAATTAACAGCAAGGAGGTCTGTGCAACTGCTCAGCATTTATGAATCAACATCACAAAATACTAAATGCCTCTTGCAAGATACTACATAAATGTAACTCTTGTATGAATGGCTACGCTGCACCACTTTGGAGTGAGAACTGGCATAGAAAAAATAGTAGTTTAGGATTTTTATAAGTTCTAGAATGTGTGCAAATAGGATTTTATACTCCTTGTGCTATCGGTGAATGGGAAGTGATACAGACAACATCTGACAAGAAGGTGGAATAAAGAGAAAAATATATCGTACATGCTTTTTTACCATGTACAGTTTGACTTATCTATAGAAAGGCTGTTATTAATCCCTCTGAAATAATTCTTACCGAAATACAGCTTCCTTAGAACAGCGACAACAAAACATGCTATCAGTCAACGGATGGACTATCATTTTTTAAAATCAAATAATTGTTCTCCCTCACTTAAAAGTAATTATATATATATTTTTAAAATATATTTAAGCTTCATACACTAGCAGCACCTTTCCATTTTGTAATTAGTGAGCAACTTGAGAGCTAGCTGTCACACTACTTCTGTTGTGTCAGATCCACAAGTACTAGAATCTTGGTGGAGATTTTCAAAAGACCAATGATCCCCAGAAACCTGACCAACAGTGAAAGTCTGTGAATTTTAATTTTAAATCACTTTAATTGTACTCTTCTCATAATATTGGACTTAATAATACTGAACAGGCTTTGAATGGGTCAATGCTTTAAACCTGTTTAATAAAATGATCTGAGAAAAAAGCTCTTACATGGGTAGTTTCACCAAAAGTTGGACATGAATGGGAAAATATGCTTCATGTGAGTCTCTGCTAACTATATCAGTCTTTACCTCAGCCTGAATACAGGAGCAGGCAGCAATCTGCATGAATGGATTCTGAAAGGTAAGTCACAGGAAAATTTCTGAAGGGGTCAAAAAATGAAAAGAAAGGTATCAGACAAAAAACCCCCAACACAATGTATCTCACAAGCTATTAAAAAAGTCCCTCCCATATACCTTAAATTTTCCGAACTGAATTCTGACTCCAGGAATTTGAGAAACTGCTCTCTTCCCACAGGGTCTTTCAAAGCTTCATCCATGCCAAATCCCCATCTTTTCACCCTCTGCTGTCCTGGCTCTTTGCTACAGAAGAAAAAACAACAGAACTCACAATCAGCAATACTTCAGTATTCTACTACTCTGTGCTCATGATTTAGACTACATCCTAAAGTTCAACCACAGATTTCTCACTTTCCAGATTGCTCCTATCTGTGCACTGTTCAGAGATGAGCAACCAGGCTGTTAGTACTTACACAGGATGAAGGTAATATGCACGCATTTACACAGAAGAATAAGGACTTGCAACTAGGAAATGTTATCAGATTTTAAAAGATGTCTTTTTTTCCCCACACTGGAACCCTGGAAACTAGTTAGTGTAACTTCAATACCTCTGTCTGAAATCTTCATGCCCGTTATACACCCTTACCCCAAAAGAAGAAATAAAATCATATACCTTGCCTCCAGTTCCCAGAAAGTGGTGTCATCTGATATCCAAGGGTTTGAGGGATCAGGGGGCACAAGAAAAGGATCATATTCCAAATACTGCTCTGTATAAGCTAATAGACTAGGAAAACAAAAGCGTCAAACATTGTCATGTCAGGAGGTAGGGAAACCTGATCAGGTTACCCCAGTTAACAAGTTACCTTGCATCAACTAGCCATGGTAACCCGGTGTGCGCACACTCGGAAGTCAGCTACAAGCTCAGGCTAAATTAGGTTTGCTCAAGCCTTTTAAAAGCGCACCCCTGAAGAAGGATGGGTGGCTCAGGTCTTGTCAAGAGCTGAAATAAAATAAACTACAAACTTCCCTAATACTTTCACATAGCTCCTTTTAGGGCTCCTTTAGGCACTAATAAATTAAATCAAGCAACCTCTTCCATGCACATTTGCTCTCATAAAGGAACATGCTTTATACCCCTACGGTTTTAATTATCAGTTCCTTTAAAATCTGTTCTACAACACTGCATGCTATTCTGGTCATATTTGTTGGCCCTGCAGCTGCTGGGACTCCTTTTTTCCTCTCTAAAATACAGTTAATATTTTTATTATTTCCTAATCAAATGGCACTACTTCCAAGTTTATTGCTTTCCAAAAAAACCTCCTTATTTTTTTTCAAATTCTTTGGTATTCATGAATTGGTCCGATTCAGTTGAACACACTAAAAACTTTGGTTGTATTCTGGTAATTTACATTTCCCATGCCCTTATCCCACTTTCCATGCTTCGTATTGCCTCATAATTATTGAGAAATTATTGACAAGTGACAACAAATGTTCATTCTTTTCATTGCTATTTATATTTAATGTATTCCATTTTTATTGCTCAGCGAACAAAAATTCTTAACCTGTTTTCTTTATAAATATATATTTATATGTGTTTGTATGTGTATGCATAAATACACATATAGAAGTAGACACACATGCACAAATGTATATGAGAGGATGAAGACGCATTTGCAATTGGCTGAATTTCCTTTACTAAGTCTTATGCAGCTCAATTTTCTGCAATTTTCACTATCTCTGTATTTGATGTGTAAGATAGAGCATTCCTTTTCTCTACCTCTTCTCTACTCAAGCTGTAGTTAGTCTTTCTGAGGGGCTTTTTGATTTATTTACTTTCTAGCCCCTTCCTGACAAATTTTGGTTTTATTTGGAGAAAGATTCCTACTAATGTTACATCCTCTGACCCGAAGTAAGCTCAGAGTCACTTTCTTCAAGCACTGAGCACCTCACCCAGCCAGCTCTGCTGATCGGTTCCCTCACTTTGTCAGTGATTGCCCTTTTGAAATATTGAAACAGTAACCCCACACCTATTTCCATTTAGCCTCCCTGCCAATGCAAGGTGAACCTTGTGACCACTTGGTCAGAGGCTCTCGCAGTGACTCTTGGGTTTATCAGAAATGTATCATGGAATATCTGGACCATCTTTTATCAATAAAATAACTTCATACCTCCCACTGAAAGCAAACTCTCATCAGTTATTTCTATGACACCTGAGCTCCCTCGCATCTCTTTCTTTGAAGCTATTTCATACTGACATTTTCCCAATAGTTATCAGTCTAATTGAAAAACCGGGAGATGTGACAATATACTTACCTCTCTGCAACTTTTGACATTTTTAATCTATGTCTGTCTAATTGCATTTGCCAGTGCTTAATCTGCAAGAAAGGAAGGCAAAGACTGTTATGAGTAATTCATTGCTTGACTCTATTTCCATAACTTTTTTATTAGGGCTGTAATTCAACCTTAATTTATCCTAGGGCACAGAAGAGAAATATATCTGAGTTAAAACAACATTTCACCAGTGAAGTTCTAAAATAAATGGTATTTTCCATCAAAGAGAAAAGATCATGCACAGACAAAAAAATATAACCCAATATAACATTTTCCCTAAAGGTTCATCAACAGAAATCCAATTAGGCTTTTTTTTAGATTTTTTAAGAGAACTACTAATTCTTCAGACATTTACCTTCTCCCAGTTCTAACACTTCAGGAAAGATTAATGAAGCATGAACAGCAGATAAATGTGTGAATGCATACGTTCATACATGGACAGGGAAGTATATCCCTAAACCTCAGATCAGTGCTGAGAGGAAGAGCGAGCTGTCTACTGCTAAAGGGGTTAATGGCATCAGCTATGCAAAAAACCCACTAACTGTCCGGCTGCTAACTGCCTTTGTTTAATGCAAGAGAGAAAAACGTCGGCGTTTGCTTCATTAGTTTTAATAGAAGTTACGTACGTAAATCCATATAACCTGAAACAAGGAAAAGGTTCACTAAACGTTTGCTAGATCTATTCTCAACATACTTCCCAGTTATGATAATTTTTGGTTTAATACCTACTTTCCTAAAAAGCTCATTCAAAAGTACATGTTTGTAGCTATTTTTCAAACCTCTTGGTGTAGTTCATCTTCCGTGGGTGGCTTAGTCTCTGGTACTGGTGTGTGAGTAGGGCTGTGACTTCGAATGTCATTTTGTAAGCCATAGACAGACTACACAAAAGATATGGAACAATGATAGTTGCTTTCAGACAATGCTTTCTACACATACCCATAGTAACTGTGATGTTTTAGTACAGTGTGCTGTAGAAGTTAGCCAAGATCATCTTTTTCTAAAAAAACTGCAAATGTGCTCAGATAAAATCGTACTTCTATACCATGATGCAAAATAAAGACTCCCCAAACCCCACAATCTTATAATGCTATAGAACACAGGATATACTTTTATTATGTCTCTATATTACAGCATAGTAAACATGGGGCATAACAGTGAAAGGCAGCTATTACAGTGAGTGGAGATGATCAGTAGGAAAAGAAGAAATAATATCCTGAAAGGTAGACTATCGCAGTGGATTATTTGGATGACTCTCAAATTTGCAATTACTGCTTGGCAAATTACACTGATCTGGACCTTTCACTACCATAAATAAGCTAAGCTAAAACTTTCTCTAAATCCACTTTCCTTTTTAAAACATATTTTTCCATGAGTTGACATGAAAATATACCTCAAAGGGAATACTTTAAAGTTGGAGTCAATCTACATTATTATGATACAAAGGATTTGAAATAAAGTGTTGTTCCAATCCATCTATACATCCCTAGAGAACTTATACTGTTCATATCTGGATCCTAATTTAGATTAAGCTAATTTTTTCCACAATCTCTGGTCACCCATTTGGGGCATAATTGTAAACTAGAGATACCCTTTTCATTAAGATCAACACAAGAAGTACTGCTGTTATAGTTTACACTGCATTTTAAATTTATTTTTCCTCAATTACTGACAGAAACATTTTAACATATTCAATCTACTAAGCAACATGAATAAAGCACATAAAATTAATTTTATTTTCATATTCACTGTATATTTCTCCCAAGCCTTTCTTATGTGATAGCATTTAGTTAGTATTAGCAAAGTTGTTAATACTAATTCATTTAAGAACTTATGCAATAGTAACATACATTGATGATTTGTTCATTGCAGCTGTAGTAAAAAATTCTTTTAAGAAACTACGATCTTCATGCTATAAATTACCTCCACCTCCTGCTTTTGATATAACAACAACACTTACCTTTCTTGTTTTATGTGGATTTCTCATTCTTGAAGATTTTTTTATATCCACTTCAGTAGTGTTTACACATCCAGGCTATTAAAAGAAAAAGACAGGAAAGCACAAGGATAAAATCTGTGAAGGAACTCCATACTATTTTCATTGAGATACTCCTCTTCAGCTTGCGAGGCTAAGAAAATAAATAACTAGAGGCACATAACAACTTGATGTCCTTCTGCAAGAGTCCCTAAAACCTAAATAACATAGAGTCTAAGGAAACATCTCAAGTATCATTTTGTCTGACTTCTTGTAAGAGAGATTCTTCTGCTATTCAGCCTTGTTTGCTGGACCCTGTGATGGTTTTTAGGACAAGTAGTACTGTATATCTTTATGCTGAAAGTACTGAGAGCAATGTACAGAGGAGCAGAAAATATCCAAATGCATATTATAAGACACACTTGCAGCACAGAGAGGCACTAATTCAAATTAAATTACTATGGGCAGTATTTGGGAATTTTGGAGTGAGACACTGAAGACCACATGCTTAGAGCTCATGACATCATGAATTTGAAACAAAATAAATTCCCAACATAACAGAAACAAATCACATGTTTCTGCTTTGGTTTTGCCAAGGAAGCCATACAACATGCACTACAGCTATCCCTCTAAGAAGCATGGTTGACCTAATGAGACAAAATAAATGGACTTGTGCAATACCCACCTCAGCTGTGAACCCCAGGCTCCCTTAAGGAGCATCTGTTTTGGGATGACTTTTTTAAAGATGATTTTTTTTAAAAAAGATTTTAAAAAGTGCCCAAATGGTATGTTTTTTCTAAAGAAAATAAACAAAAAGCAAAGCAAAGCAAAACAAAGCAAAGAGAAAAGACAACCAGGCTGTAGCAGCCTAACCAGAAGACTGGTAATCTAAAGAGAATGACCCTCAACACATCTGATTTGGCCTTCAAAGACTCATTCTCACAACTCTGTAGCATCCCAAAGGACTAATTTCTCCTAATTCATCTTCCTTTGACACTTCCCTCTAAGTATGAACTCTGTGCAGAAATCTGTTCTTTACCCATTGCTGGAAAAAACTAAGAATAAGTGTTATGCTCTCAGGTGAGTTTTACTTATTGATTTTAGAGGGATTACATTTGCCACTGAGAGTGGGAAGTACAAAAGCTGCTCTCTACCGAGAGCAGATTTTTAGAGAAAGTAGGTTGGGGTCTTTTAATGGGAGTAGCTAGATGTAGACTTTACTTGCCAGACAACCAAGCTGGACTTATGATCACACTAATGATATGAGCTTTGTCTTCTTATCATAATGTAAAACACTTGATGTGCCTGTAAATCTTCACAGACAAAAATTTTAAACATTTCTTATATAGGCAGAGCCAAGAAACAAATAGTTTCATTAAACATGCCAATGGTACTTTGCCTCGGGAAGATATTTTAAATAACAGACTAATTTTTTTTTTAATCCAGTATGATTTTTAAATTAATAAATAAGTTTTTAAAGTATTACATTAATGTATATTTGATCATATTACAATTGCAGTTCCTCATCACTAAGAATAAAAATAGGCACAGATAATATTCTCAAGACTGCATCTGACATGCCTATTGAGCTAGATTTGGGAAGATACACTTTGTGGTTGTGAACAAAAATGGTAGTTTTTTAACCTAGAATAACTTGTAACTCTCAGAGACAATGACAAGTTGAAAAATACAGAATTCTGCATGATGGTCAATTTAAAGGCAGAAAGCAATTTCACAAGGCAGTATACTGAGAGAGAAAGCTAAAAAGAAAACAATGCTTGTACTTCAGGATTATGGCAGCAGCTGGCAGTGAAGAAGACACGGGCTTTTAACAACATCTACAGCCCTTGACACAGCCATTTGAATAGCAGGCACACTTACATAAGGCACAAACTGTTGTTTGCTTAGTTTTCAGCTAGAGTTAAAAGCATGTCTTAAAAATGGAGGGGGGGGGGGGGGGCCAAAAAAAAAAAAGGGAAAAAACCTCACAACACGCCTGCATAAACCTCATCCAAAGCCTCTTATTTTCAAAGATTTCAAGTCCACCAGCACTAAATTGGTATGAGCAGTCCTAACACCTTGCCCAGGACAAGTTACATGTCAGAGCTGTGCAGACCGATGCGAGGGACACAACAAGAAATTCTGGGAGACTTTTTAAAAATGAAACAGGGGCTTAGATTTTGCTGGTTGGAAAGAGACCCAATCCAATACTGACCTTCTACAGCATCTAGTGGATTCTTCCTCACACCTGGCTGTTTAAAAGCTCTCACGCTGAAGTAAAGCTGCTGTGGCATACCTCAGCAGGGGCACTCGCGAGGGGCTCTGAGGGCAGAATCTGGGCCAAGGTGTGGCCAGAGGGAAGCCGACCCGAGAGCAGCAGCAGCAGCAGGAGCAGGAGCAGGAAGGTGTGGGCAGGGAGGCATCAAGAAGTTTCAGTGCGAAAGGGAAGGCGGCTAAAGGACGTATCACTACTCTGACAGCCTGGGGTAACAACTGGAGTTTAGGACATCTATCACTACCACTATACAATACCATTCTCATCATTTGATTTCAATGATGTTGCTGGGAGTACGTAATGTAATCGGGGCCAAAATTCATGTTTTCTTCTCTGAAGAATATTTATGAAAATCATACTTGATATGAGATGGGATTTATTGCTTCTCTGGTGCTGCCACACTTCATCTGTCAATTTTTAGGAATAAATATCAAGCATTTTTCCAATTAAAACAAACACAAACGCTTGCATTATTTGAACATTTTACTAAAATAACTCAGTCTTTGTGGGAAAACCTTTGCTGGACAACTTTTCATTATATTCGTATGCCCCCATTAACATAATAAGTATGTGTTTGGGTACAATTACATCCAGCTGTGTTTTCTTTTTGTGTTGCTTTTTTAACTGGACTACCATAGTTCAAATAGTAAGATGCCTGTCAGAGTGCTCTGCTGCAAGATTCCCATTTAGTGTGTGGTATATAATTTGCATACTAATACTGTAAATAGTTTTCAAACAGATTTCCTGGAAGACTTGAAACCTCTTCTATATATGTAAATAGAATGCTTATTTCTTTCAGGACTAATACTCTGTATGAAAACAGTTCCCCCTCCACACACATAGAGGAAAGTCTTGTGACCTTGTTGAAATTACCATACAGCAAGATCACAACCAGGGTAAAATTTAGCCCTCCTCTGTTTTTAAATATCTGGCTGAAAAACTCTCATATATTCAAAGGAAACTTAGTTTCTTTTCATCCATCTGTTAGCATGCCCTTATCTCAACTTACAAATTCCATTGTATTGATTTGCAGCAAAGGACATGTCAGTCCAGTTGTGATAAATTCGCTGCTGAGATAAATGGATGCAGATAAATAATATAAAACCCCACATACAGAAGATTTTTTTAATCCCTACTTCAATTATTGGATAATCACATTAGTATGAATTCCAAGAACTTTCTATTGATGCTCTCTAGGAGGCTGCATAATAGGAATCTGCTTAGAAACACAGTGGAAGGAGTAAGCTTCCTCTGCAAGGAGAGGAGGTCCAAGAAATCTGGGTCCGAGAACTTACGTGCTTGGATCTGGCTACAGCCAGCATTCAAAAACAACCATTCACCTGAGAGTATGTTTATTTAAAAAAAAAAAATCTTTGATATTCATAATCTCAATATTCATAATCTTTCCCTGATAAATGGCAACAGTGAATTAATTAATTAAGCCCTTGTAATAGTGCTAACAGTGAATTAATTTTTTGACATCTGTAGCAACTTTTTGGAAGAATTCGTTGTTTACATCAAATGGGATGCTTTAGCTCTCCTACATTTCCATCCAAATAGTGCAGAATACCTAATATTTATAGTCTGTTTGCTGCACAAAGTTGCACACTCCGAGGGCCCTTTTTATTGCCTGGCCACATAGCCAAAATCATTGCTATCAACACCTTTTTGTCTAAAAATCTCTTTGCTATGAGGTACTTGTAATTCTAATAAGTGTGAAATCCTCAACAGAAAATAAATATAATTATTATAAAGATGTCAGTTTAAGTTGTGATGATTTTTTTTTTTCCTTTCTTAAAGAATCTCACAATTTAACTATGAATCTACTTAAGCCAGAATAACCAGAGGTTTTCTTGTGTCTGAGCCATATACACCCAAGTATGTGGGAGGGAATAAGCTCACGCATTGCAATAGCCTGGGAACTGTATGTCTGTATTGCTGCTCTGTAGAAAATGATCTGAGGGAGAAGTTGAACATGAGTCAACAGCATGTCCTTGCAGCAGTGCAGGCAAACCACAAACCCAGCTGCATTAGCAATAGCATAGCCAGCAGGCAAACGAAGTGGTTGTTTCTTTCTACTTGGCATCGTGAGGATACATCTGGAATACCAAAACTAGTTTTGAGGTCCACAAACAACACAAGAAATATAATCAAAATGGAAAACTCCAGTGGAGGAACAGACTTTTTACTGCTTGCAAAAGGGGAGAACTAACTGTTTTTTGCTGCTGCCTAAAGGGGGCTTGCAGAGCTAGACCTGTTCCAGAGGTGCACCATGAAAGGACAAGAGGTAATAGTCAGAAATTGCAGTAAAGGAAATTCCAGCTAGCTATAAATAAATATTCTTCATAACAAAAGGCAAAAGTTGCTTAAGAAAGGCTGTAGAATCTCCATCCTTGGTGATTTTCAAAGCTCATTTAACCAAGGGCCTGGACAATCTGATTCAACTTGGAAGTTAGCACTGCTTTGAGCAGGAGGTTGGACTACAGGACCTCCAGAGGTCCCTCTCAGCCTACAGTTCTGTGGTACAGCCTATGATCTCCACAGGCACCAAAGCCTGCAATCCAAATAATCCACCTTACAGAACACTCCAATCAAGTATTCAGGGCAGTGTGAAATTCATCACCTCGCCTTCCCCTCCCCACAACAGCAGAACGGAAAGACAAGACTGGTGTTTGCTTCCTTACTGCTGCCTCTGGTCTCCGGTAGCCTGTGGTGTGTACTCAACCCATACAAACAAACCTAGCAATAATTTAAGGAAATGTAATTTCACAGCCTCTTTAGCTAA